TCTACTGCTTTTTATAACTAACACCTCTGAATAATGTAACTTATCACAGTAAGGACAATCTGAGTTGGTTGACACAGGCAAGACAAAGCCACAGGTGCAGGTTAATGTCAAAGGGCATCACATTGGGGCGAAGTGAGACCCCATCTCTACAAAAAATAAAAAGTACTAAAGGGCATCTTTAATCAAGGAAATAAAGCACACATGCCTCATGTAAAAACTCACCTGAATTGGGCACGGTGGCTCATACTTGTAATCCCAGCACTTTGGGAGGTTGAGGTGGGTGGATCACTTGAGGTCAAGAGTTCGAGACCAGCCTAGCCAACATGGTGAAACCCCCATCTCTACTAAAAACACAAAAAATTAGCCGAGCGTTGTGGCACATACCTGTAATCCTGACTGCTCCGGAGGCTGAGACAGGAGAATTGCTTGAGCCTGGGAGGCGGAGGTTGCAGTGAGCCAAGATCGTGCAATTGCACTCCAGCCTGGGTGACAGAGCAAGACTCATCTCAAAAAAAAAAAAAAACCAAAAAACAAAAAACCAAAACAACAACGACAACAACAAAAGTCTCACCCTAATATTCTCTGGAATCCAGAAAGAAAATCTTTACTTCTCAGTTCCTCACCTGGATATTTCACCAGTTCTAAGTTAGTAGCTTATTCAGGGCTTTATTAGTAATAAGAAGATATTGACTTTATCTTTGCACATTGAATAACAAATCAATTCCTGTTGGAATTGTAGGTCCTGGAAGATGTTTCTGATGATGTGAGCCTTGGTGCTCTCTCTCTCTCTCTGAGTATTCTGAGAGGGGCAAAATTGCTTGTGATTCCCAGGCCTTATATTCTGGTTCTTAATTTAGATGATTTTTCTGTGGAGGGTCAAAGATGGTAGTTTGCTCCAAAATTCTCACAAGATACCTGGCTTGTATGGCTCCTTTCATTAAGATACTTCTTGTACAGATTCTTTCTTTGAGAGATTTCTTGTCTTTTTGTCCAAGCCTATTTAATTAAATTGATTATGTATTAGAATTGTTTACACATTTGAAAAATAATTCCCTTAATTTTAGGACACTAATTATTATTGAATCACAAATTCATGTCTAGTAGAAAATAACAGGTACAAATAAGCAAATGTTGAGACTGGCAATGAAGGGAGCTTAGTGAAGTAGGTTGTCAGCCTAGTTAGGACAGCATCCTGTGACATGTTGGCAAGCTTGAAATTAGTGGAAATTAGCTGAAAACGGCTGTTGGGCTCCAGGCATTAGCAGACTCATTTTTACTGAATGGAAATCACAGATTTTACTGGCAAAACCAAGAGTCCTATAGTTCTTCCGTGCTAATTTTTTCCTACCCCTTATTTCTCTCTAACTTCTTCAACTCTGTTACTAAGGTTTAAAGTGGTTTATGGAAGGCTGACAAGTAGAACGATATAATCAATGACTGTGGCCAAATCAGCGCCCTTCCACATTGATGTGAGAAATACTCTTTTATTCCTTTCAAGTGAAACTAACACGTTTATATATTGAGTATTGACAAAATGCTCAATACTGTCACAGGTATTACCAGAGATAAAAGCAAAAGCTCCGAGGCTTGCCTTCTGGACACATAAAATATAATTGGAGAGTGCAACTTTATATCTAAGAACAAAATACAGAGTAAGGTATGACAGTGTGCAATTAGGTGAAAATTGTGGGGTACTGATTACCATACGTAATTTAGGAATTCAGACAAAAGACAGATGAATGCTGGCCAGAGGGAGCCACCTAGGACAGCTTGCTTTCTTTCTTTTCTTTTCTCTTTTCTATTCTCTTTCTTTCTTTCTTTCTTTCTTTCTTTCTTTCTTTCTTTCTTCTTTCTTTCTTTCTTTCTTTCTTTCTTTCTTTTTCTTTCTTTTCGAGACAAGCTCTCGTTCTGTCGCCCAGTGCAATGGCACAATCTTGGTTTATTGGGCCTTAACTTCCTGGGCTCAAATTATCTTCCTGCCTCAGCCTCTTATGTAGCTGGGACCACAGGCATGCCCCGCCATGCCTGACTACTTTGTTTATTTTTTGTAGAGATGGGGTCTCACTTTGTTGCCTAGGCTGGTCTTGAACTCTTGGGCTTCTGTGATCGGGAGAGAGCTTTCTTGAGGGTGGTTGCCTGTGTAGCCTTCTTCTCCACCAGGCAACCAACAGAATGGGACAAAATTTTTGCAGTTTACCCATCTGACAAAGGGCTGATATCCAGAATTTACAAAGAACTAAAACAGATTTACAAGAACAAAACAAACAAGCCCATTCAAAAGTGGGCAAAGGATATGAACAGACACTTTACAAAAGAAGACATACATGAGGCCAACAAACATATGAAAACATGCTCATCATCACTGGTCATTAGAGAAATGCAAATCAAAACTACATTGAGATACCATCTCACGCCAGTTAGAATGGTGATCATTAAAAAATCTGGGAGACAACAGATGCTGGAGAGGATGTGGAGAAATAGGAACACTTTTACACTGCTGGTGGGAGTGTAAATTAGTTCAACCGTAGTGGAAGACAGTGTGGCGATTCCTCAAGGACCTAGAAATAGAAATTCCATTTCACTCAGCAATCCCATTTCTGGGTATATATCCAAAGGATTATAAATCATTCTACTATAAGGACACATGCACACAAATGTTCATTGCAGCACTATTTACAATAGCAAAGACCTGGAATTAACCCAATGCCCACTGATGATATACTGGACAGGGAAAATGTGGCACATATACACGATGGAATATTATGCAGCCATAAAAAATGATGAGTTCGTGTCCTTTGTAGGGACATGGATGAACCTGGAGACCATCATTCTCAGCAAACTGACACAAGAACAGAAAATGAAATACCGCATGTTCTCACTCATAGGTGGGTGTTGAACAATGAAAACACATGGACACAGGGAGGGGAGCACTACACACTGGGGTCTGTTGGGGAGAATAGGGAAGGGACAGCAGGGGGTGGGGAGTTGGGGAGAGATGGCATGGGGAGAAACGCCAGATATAGGTGAAGGGGAGGAAGGCAGCAAATCACACTGCCACGTGTGTACCTATGCAACTATCTTGCATGTTCTTCACATGTACCCCAAAACCTAAAATGCAATAAAAAAATAAAAAAATAAGAAATTTAGAATATGAATTAAAGAATACAAAGTAAAGGCACATTTAATAGAGAATATGAATTAAAGAATGAATATGCTAAGAAGTAGCTGGTTCTCAGCTTAGAATCAGTCAGGAAAATAAAAAGAAAAGCACTTAAGGTATTTCCAGCAGAGAGGTATTTAATATGGAGAATTGGATTACAATTTACATTAGAATTAGATTACAGTTGTTAGAAGGGTTGGAGGAGTGGAAAGGAGAGTGTGGTTTTCAGAGGTGAGGAGCTGTAGAAACCTGCTTGCAACTGCTTAGAACCGCTAAGGCCTCGAAAGGAAAGGTTTGTATTCTCCTTCTACCTTCTAATCTCGTGCAACAGCCTCCTTTTGGCAGATCCTCTGCTGGAACCGAGCCGGCATGGGGGTCTGGGAAATGTGGTTTCCAGGCTTCTAGCCCCTGCGAAGAACCAATAGGCAATATCTAGCTCAGGACTGGTACGATCCACATGATGTTTTAGAAGGATTTTTCTGCTGGTGACCGAAGTCCAGTTTCCCTAAGGATGCTCTTACTTTTCTCTTCTAACCCATTCTGTGTCCCGTCGCAGCTGCTTTTGGGTTTGTTTTTGTCTCGTTAGTCTGTATCATATTAACACCATATGCTTGCTTTACATATATTTGTTTCCATAACTGGATTTTTTTTCCCCCTAACTAGAGTTTTTAAAGATTGGGAGCAGGCTGGATGCAGTGGCTCACATCTGTAATCCCAGTATTTTGGGAGGGTGAAGAGAGGGTTGCTTGAGTCCAGGAGTTTGAGACCAGCCTGGGCAACATAGTAGGACCTCGTCTCTATTTTTATTTTTTAAATTAAAAATACTAGAAACAGAACTTTATTAATTAGCAAATAATAATCTGTGTGCACAAAAACAAGACACTGTTCAGGGTGCTGAAGATAGAGCAGTGACCAAAACAATCTGAATCTTACTGGAGCTTCCATTCCAGCAAGGGAAACTAAGAATGAACAGCAAATGCATATTTAGTATCACATGGAGATAATGCTCTGGAGAAAAAATCTGAGAATTATAAAGTGATAGTCAAGGACAGTGGTGGGTGACAGGGTCTATGTCATAAATAATAGTCAGGAAAGGGTTCTCTGTTAAGAGGAAGGTAGGATATGAGAGAGAGGGAACCATGTGCATTTCGGGGAAAGCGGACAAACAAGGACATATGGAGTGTGGTGGGAAGTCGCACAGCACATTTGAGAAATGGCCAGAAGTCCAATGATGATGGAAAGGAGAGATAAGGAGAAGTGGTAAAAAATAAGATGAGAGAAGGGGAAAGATCATATGCTACCTATATCTCGTCTCTTCTATACCTCTCCTAGGGTTGGCCTTCTTTTGGGAAAGTAGCTATGTTTCATTCAGTCTTCAAAGCCAACACCCAGCATTTCAAGCATTATCATTTTCCCTTCTGTATTTTATTTTGTGCCTTCTCTCCGATATGTGACTCTGCAGCTACATTTATTTTTTTCTTTTATTAAATCGCAAAGACCGCTTGCTGGAATGATGTATAGATTGGTTATTCCTGTAGGCAGGTTGCCATAGCAACAGGGAAAATCTTACCTATTTCAGCAAATTTCATCAATAAAGCAGTCTAACTAGAGACTAATGTTCACATAATTAAACGTCTGCTATTCTTTTCCTCTGTTCCTTAAGCATGGCGACTATCAGATTGTTAATTAGGTGGATGCCAATTGATTAAAGGGCTCCACAGGAGCGGACACTAAGAAAACCTAATAATAGAATGATCCTAAGCAGTCACAGGTGACAGCCCCAAGTCACCGTCTTGCTTTGGTTTCCAAGTTAACCACAGCAAATCTTTATCCGTTCCAGGAAGAGGCATGCAGCTTCCATGTTGAATACCTGGAATCCATTTAGACTGGCAAGTATCCACTACCTGAAAAGCCTTGGGTGCTGAGGAAGCAGCGTTGGAAAGAATAGAGTGCATCCAGTCATGCCAACTGCAGTCTAAGAATGGTCAGTGATGTGGCTCCCTGAAGGGGCAAACAAAGCAAAATAAATACACACCAGCTGGGCACAGTGGCCCATGCCTGTAATTCCAGCACTTTGGGAGGCCGAGGTGGAAGGATCACTTGAGTCCAGGAGTTCAAGGCCAGCCTAGGAAACATAGTGAGACTCCATCTCTACCAACAAATAAAATAAAATAATAAAATAAATAGATAAAATAAAATAAAATAAATTAGCTGGGTGTGGTGGTGCACAGCTGTAGTCCCTGCTATTCAGGAGGTGGAGGCAGGGAGCCTCAGGAACCTGGAAGGTTGAGGCTGCAGTGAGCCAAGATTGAGCCACTGTACTCCAGCCTGGGTGGTGGAGTGAGACCCTGTCACACACAAACACAAAATACATGCCAATCCTCTCAGGTTAAAGCTTCAGGTGACCTCGAATTCAAATGATAATAGTGGCCACACTGAATACGTGGTCAGATATTTGTTAAAACATAAACTTTAATGTAACCCCCTCTATAAGATCATATGTTCAGTTCGTTCACAACAGAGTTGACCTTCAGAGATCAATATGTCCACTTTCTTGTGTTCATAGAAGGCTTTGTATACATTTTTCTAATCTTGTCTGATTTGTGATTTTAAAAAATACTTCAGAAAAGATGATATCATGGTCTGCTATGGCTATACATGGTGTGAATATAGAATCATCTTCATCTTCCTTTGGGGGAAGTTTTCTTTGGAACACTATCCAAGTCATTTGAGGTTCTATGTCATGTATAGATAACTAATTTGGCATGAAGGATTCTGCTAAATGATTGTTTTGGCTTGCCAATCAATAACAATGTAACCTCCTTATTCTGAGGGACATAGTTCACTGCAATGGGAAGAGGTATATATAGGTACTGGAGTGAGATTCCTACCTCACCACTTTTGAGCTAAGTTTAATCAGTCTGTTGTCCTCATGATACACACTTCCACCACCACTGTTTTCTCCGCTGTGAAATGAATAAAATGCCATCCACCACTCCTGGCTGCTCTGAGAATTAGAAGGTAACCTACACAGGGCCTGGCACATAGGAAGCATTCGGTGATGTTTTTTTCCTTTTCCTTCTCTTGTCCTTAAAAATATACAACATGAAATTAAATATGATCTAGCTACACTGTTGAAATAATTTTTCTGTAGCAAGTTTTATATGTTTTATTATTTATTTATTTATTGAGATGGAGTTTCTCTCTTGTTGCCCAGTCTGGAGTGCACTGGCATGATCTCAGCTCACTGCAACCTCTACCTCCTGGATTCAAGCGATTCTCCTGCCTCAGCCTCTGGAGTAGCTGGGATTTCGGGCACGTAACACCACACCTGTCTAATTTTTGTATATTTAGTAGAGATGGGGTTTCGCCATATTGGTCAGGCTGGTCTCGAACTCCTGACCTCAGGTGATCCACCTGCCTCAGGCTCCCCAAGTGCTGGGATTACAAGCCTGAGCAACCATGCTTGGCTGTATGTTTTATTTTATAAAAAGAAACATAAATGTAGGTGAAATGTAAATGTAACAAATAAATGTATGTTAAAAGAGTAACTAAAAATACAAATACCAAATACAATTCTGTAGAAAGACTTAAATTTTCTATCACTTTATCTATAAATGTAACAATATGTATTTCAAAAGATAGTTACTTTTTTTGGTAAAATAACTGCAAACCATTGATTCGTGCAAAAATATTAACACATTTCTTAGTATCATCCAATGACTATTCATGTCATTATGTTTTACAATTTGCTTTTTATAATTATATTCTAAATAAGAAATACATATATTTGAAAAAATAAACTTAAGGTGATCTTATACCATTGGAATGAGTTATTTAGTTACTGGTAAAACAGGCTCATATGGTTTGGCTGTGTCCCCACCCAAATCTCATCTTAAATTATGATAATCCCACATGTCAGGGGTGAGGCCAGGTGGAGATAATTAAATTATGGGGGGTGGGGCGGGGGGTTGGAGGTGGTTTCCTGTGCCGTTCTGGTGATAGTGAATAAGTCTCAGTAGATCTGATGGTTTTATAAAAGGGAGTTTCCCAACAAGCTCTCTTGCCTGCTCCCATGTAAGACATGTCTTTGCTTCTCCTTTGCTTTCCACCATGATTGTCAGGCCTCTCCAGCCATGTGGAACTGTGAGTCCATTAATCCTCTTTCCTTTATAAATCTCTCAGTCTAGGGTAAGGTGTTTGTTAGTAGCATGAGAACAGACTAATATAGGCATATAGAAGATTTTTTTTTGTTACAATAAGTTGTATCTCTTGTCTAAAATATTTGTAAGCAAACCAAGGAAAAAGCTGGCATTAATCAATGTTCTTGGAGAAACAGTACACACAGTGTGTTAGTCTGTTTTCACAGTGCTGAATAAGATCTTGTGGGACTTATTCACTATCATGAGAACAGCACAGGAAAGACTTGCCCCATGACTCAACTACCTCCCACCGGGTCCCTCCCACAGCACATGGGAATTCAGGATGAGATTTGAGTGGGGACTCAGCCAAACCATATCACACACACACATACACATGCACACATGTGTACATATATTCATACATACATACATGCATTTATCTATTGATGATTGATTGGAATTGGCTTACATGATTCTGGAAAGCAGCAACTCCAATATTGGTAGGGCAGACTGGTAGGAAATTTAGCTAAGAGAAACCTCAGTCTCCACTTTGAAGGCCTCCAACTGATTGGATGAGGCCCATCACATCATGAAAGGTATTGTGTTTTACTAAAACTCTGCTGATTTCCATGTTAATTACATCCATAAATACCGTCACAGCAATATCTAGACTGGTGTTTAACCAAACAACTGGGCACCACAGCCTAGCCAAGTTGACTTGGAAAATTAACCACCACAAAGCTCAAAACAAGAGATTTAATATTGATAGTTCTGGTTTTCTAATGGTAATTTCTTTTTTAAAATGTAAAGGGATAAAAAAGAAGTGAAACCAGGATGTAAAAGAAGCCTGGTCACTAGAATAAAAGTGATTCTGCTCATAATAGCAACTTCTTTATCCTTCACCTGTTTCATTTCCTTATTGATAGCTCTTTTATATGATAAAGCTTTAGGGAAGCTGGGTAGAATATTCAGTAGGTTGCTTGTAATTATTTTATGTAGTACTGTCAAGTTAAAAGAGTAATCATGGCTGGGCATTGTGACTCATGCCCGTAATTCTAGCACTTTGGGAGACCGAGTAGGTGGATTACCTGAGGTCAAAAGTTTGAGGCCAGCCTGGCCAACATGGCGAAACCCCATCTCTACCAAAAATACAAAAGTTAGCTGGACGTGGTGGCTCACATCTGTAATCACAGCTACTTGGGAGGTTGAGGCAGGAGAATTGCTTGAGCCCAGGAGGTGCAGGTTGCAGTAAGCAGAGACTTTGCCACTACACTCCAGCCTGGGTGGCAGCAAAAGAAAAAAAGGATTTAAAAAGAAAAAGAAAAAAAAAAATAGTAATTGTGTACCTTGACAACGAAAATTATTACATATCTTGGGTAAAATTAAAATGCATGTAAATTGAGACCTCTTTACCTAAGATAACATCTTTTTGTTAGTGTGGTATGGTTTTCATTTATTTTATTTTATGTTCAAGGTGCATGTTCAGATTTGTTATATAGGTAAATTCATGTCGCAAAGGTTTAATGTGCAGATTATTTTGCCGCCCATGTAATAAGCTTAGTACCCAATAGGTAGGTTTTTGATCCTCACCCTATCCCCACCCTCCACCATCAAGTAGAGTCTGGTGTTCGCTGTTCTTATCTTTGTGTCCATTGTATTCAATGTTTAGCTCTCGCTTATAAGGGAGAACATGAAATATTTGGTTTTCTGTTCCTGTGTTAGTTTGCTTAGGAGAATGGCCTATAGCTCTATTGATGTTGCTGCAAAGGACATGATCTCATTCTTTTTTATGGCTGTATAGTATTCCATCATGTATGTGTACCACATTTTAAAAATCCAGTCTACCATCAATGAGCATTGAGGCTGATTCTGTGTCTTTGCTATTGTGAGTAATGCTGCAATGAACATATGCGTGCATGTGTCTTTGTGGTAGAATGACTTCTATTCCTCTGGGTATACACCCAATAATGGGATTGCTGGTGGAATGGTAGCTCTGTGTTAAGTTTTTGAGAAATCACCAAACTGGTTTCCACAGTGGCTGAACTAATTTACATTCCCACCCCAGTGCATAAGCATTCCCTTTTCTCCACAACCTGGCCAGCTTCTGTTACTTTTTGACTTTTTAATAATGGTATGGTTTTCTTAAAACAAATGATTTTTGTTTTGACATCAAAAATGTATAGAGAACTAAAATCAGTGATTAATGGGTGTCGGGTTTTGGCCTTACAGAGACATCTATCTTGTGTGGTTATAGTGTATGTGTATTTGTGCAGTTTTACATGACTGTCAGTTTCTTTTTTTATTTTTATTTTTATTATTTTTTTATTGCATTTTAGGTTTTGGGGTACATGTGAAGAACATGCAAGATAGTTGCATAGCTACACACGTGGCAGTGTGATTTGCTGCCTTCCTCCCCTTCACCTATATCTGGCATTTCTCCCCATGCTATCTCTCCCCAGCTCCCCACCCCCTGCTGTCTCTCCCCTATTCCCCCCAACAGACCCCAGTGTGTAGTGCTCCCCTCCCTGTGTCCATGTGTTCTCATTGTTCAACACCCATCTATGAGTGAGAACATGCGGTATGTCATTTTCTGTTCTTGTGTCAATTTGCTGAGAATGATGGTCTCCAGGTTCATCCATGTCCCTACAAAGGACACGAACTCATCATTTTTTATGGCTGCATAATATTCCATGGTGTATATGTGCCACATTTTCCCTGCCCAGTCTATCATCGATGGGCATTTGGGTTGGTTCCAGGTCTTTGCTATTGTAAACAGTGCTGCAATGAACATTCGTGTGCATGTGTCCTTATAGTAGAATGATTTATAATCCTTTGGATATAT